GGGCGTGCCCGGCACCGCGGCCGACGACTTGCGCACTCTCCTGGTGTTCAGCACTTCTGAGCCGTGGATCCACGGCGAGTCGGCCGCCCCGCAGCTTCTCCTCGGGCCCTGGTCGGAGTGCGGGGCGCCGCCGTCGCTCGAGCACGCGCCTCCGACGCCGTTGCTCGCGCTGCCGGCGCCGCCGCCCGCCCCCGACGCTGGCCAGGAGATGTCGACGGGGCCGCCTGGCGCTGTCGGCGGCCAGATCCCCATCGCGACGATCGCGGCCCAGTCTGGCGCTGCCGCGCGCGCCGGGGCTGCTGCTTCGTCGTCAGGGCCGCCAGCTGCGGCGCCGCTTGTGGTGGGGGGCTCCGACACGGAGGCGGGCGCGGAGGTGGGCAGTCCGGCGGGCCCGCCCGAGCCTGCGTCGAAGAGGCGCGTCGTCCGAGACAGCGCCGAGGCCTTCGCATCGGTTGCGGCCGACTGGGGGACTGCGCGCCAGAGCACGAGTGGCGCTGCAGCGCGCGCCGTTGCAGGACAGGCCCGCCGCAGAGCTGGCAGAGCCTTCGCGACCGCGGAGGTCGTAGCGGCTGGGCTTCCACCGCCGCCGCCGCTGGCGCCGCCGCCGCCGCTGGCGCCGCCTGCCGATGCGTCGGCGCCGCCCCCCGTGCCCGACGGCGCGGGGGCGGGCGCCGTCGCCGTGGACTACGCGGACGCGGGGCCAAAATTCGAGGGCGACGAAGCCGAGTTTGATTTTTGACGTTTCCGATTTCGATTTCTATCGAGTCCGCTCGATTCTGAGTCCGCTTCCGAACGCGTCTGACGGGGCTTCTTCGAGGGGCCCGAGTGCCGAGCGATTCCCGTCGGGCCCGCGTTCGATCCGATCCCCAGCGCGATCGATTCCGATTCCAATTGGCTCCAACAGATTCCGCCTGATCGATTCCGACCACTACCCCGCCCCGTTCGATTCTGGTCGTCGTGGGAATCGACCCATTCCTAAGGGGAGGGGGTTGGGGAGGTTATACTGGAATCAGGCATGATGGGGGTTAGGAAGGCCACGGGAAGACCAGGGGGGAGTCCTCGCCTGGCCCCCCCTCTCAGTCACAGGTGCCGCGCGGGAGCCCAGGGGGGCCGCTCCACTTCGAGGAGGTGTCCATCCACGCTGTGCTGCCTGTACCTGTGGTGGGCACGCCCGTGGGGCACTGTCGCATACAGGGCGACCACCTGCAGCTCACTGCAGGCGGCAAGTACCAGCGGCCGTGCGTTGTCGCGCAGGGGCTCTGGAAAACGGGGACGCACGCCCTCCGCAGTTACATGGAGCGGCACTTCGACGTCGAGGTGCGCAAGAGCAGGTGGGACGGGTGCGTCTCCTTCAACGGCCGCCACGTGTGGAAGCACGACCTGCTCCTCACGCCGCTGGAGTTTCCGCCGGAGGATGAGCAGGGCCGCCCAGTGGTGGTTCTGGTGTGCACGCGCGAGCCGACCAGGCGGCCGACGGGTCTTTCGGGCCAATGGTGCAGCAGAAGCGCGCCAGCTTTTGAGGTATCAGCCTGCCTGCCCTCCGGTCTTCTCACTTCCCCCAAACTATCATGTCGCGCTGCTCTCGCAATCCCCCCCCCCAGGTGGATCAGGGCGATGTCGAAGGGCGCCTGCGAACTGATGCCGAACTCAGCCAGCGGCACGAAGCGGGTTCGGAGGATGGGCGACGTGAGTTGGCTCTTGCGGGGGCCGAGAGACGAACCTGTGCACGTCCGCTGGCCCGCCTGGGCGAAAGGCCGCGTCGATTACGATCCAGAGTTCGAGGATGCGTTCGACTTGCGGTGCCACTGCATGGCCGCAGTGCTCCACGGTACCGGCGTGGGCAGCCCGGCGTCTCCAACCCATCGCGCCCTCGTCGTGCGGCGCGAGGACCTCGTGTGCGGGCCCGAACTCGTGCTGAAGGAGCTCGTCAGGGCTGGCCTGCAAACCAAGGGGTTGCCGTTTCATCCAGAGCGCAGGCTTCTGGGGGGCCACCACACCGACAAGGGGCGGGCGGTGGGGGCGCTGAGGGAGGAGGTGCAAACGCCAGTGGCCCTGGACGATCAGATGGTCGATTGCATGGTGTCGAGGGCTCAACGGTACAAAGGCCTGTTTGCCACTTGCTGGTGCCCGCCCGCTGACGGCAAACTTCCAGTCGACCACGTGAGTGTCGAGGATGTTTATAAAGTTTGCGCAGCGGCGTGATTCATCTGATTCCCGCGAGCTGGCCAACTAGCAGGCAGCCCCCGCCACCTGTTCATTCCTCTTCGCCTCCTCTGGTGCAGCATCAGCGCGCTTCTCCCTACTCCCTCTCCTGGTGACGGCCTGCAAAGCAGCCGCGCCCGAATTGCTGGCATTTGGAACGGCGCCAATTCGCTGCGGATTATTCCCTTGAGAGCTTCGCGCGCAACGTTCGCACATGAAAAAAAGAAGATGTCGGGTGACAGAGCACCCCCAACGAGGTGGGGAACCCTGGGCTGACAGAGCCCCCCAACGCGGCCCGGGGAAGCTTGCAGAGGTTCCAAGAGGCACCAGTGGGCTCCAAGACGGCCCCGAGAGGACGCCGAGAAGGCTTCAAGAGGTTCCTCTCCCAAAAGTACCCCAAGGGTATCTGTAGAGGGCTTCCCGAGGTCGTCGTCGTCGTCGTGGTCGCGGTCGTCGTCGTCGTCGTCGTCGTCGTTGTCGTCGTCCTCGTCCTCGTCCTCGTCCTCGTCGTGGTCGTCGTGGTCATCGTCGTCGTGGTCGTCGTCGTCGTGGTCGTCGTCGTCGTCGTGGTCGTGGTCGTGTTCGTCGTCGTTGTCGTCGTCGTGGACGTCGTTGTCGTGGTCGTCGGCGTCGTCGTCGTGGAGCCCGTCGTGGTCGTCGTCGTCGTCGTTGTCGTCGTCTTCGTCAGCGGACATCATTCCTCCTTTGTGGTTGTGGCGCACCCCGCGGCTGCGGCGGCTCATAATTGAAACGACTGTTGTGAATGCGTTTCCTGCCGCGCCGCGGCGACTAGGAGGAAGGGGGGGGAAGGGGGGGGGAAGAGAGGGGGAGGGGATGAGGAAGGGAGGAGGAAGGGAAGAGGGAGAGAGGAGGACAGGAGGAGGAAGGGGGGCCAACGGGGGGAGGAAGGGAGGAGCAAGGGGGAAGGGAGGAGGAATGGATGAGGACGGGGGGAGAAAGGGAGGAGCAAGGGAGGAGGAAGCGAGGTGGAAGGGAGGAGGAAGAGACCAGGACGGGAGGAGGAAGGGGAGAGAAAGGCGAAGGCTAAGGTACTCACTATGTGGCCACTCCGTGCGGCGAACGGATGCTGGGGGCACCCCCACTTCAAAGGTGGTCGCTGCAAGGCGTTGCAGCGCCAGGCCGCCTCGAGGAAGAGGGGGGGGGGGGCGCGGGAGGAGGAATAAGTAACGAACGCGGAGGAGAGGAGGAGGGGGAGGGGGGGGGGGGGAGGCGCAGGAGAAAGCAGACTGCTGTGAGTGACAAGCCAGGGGGCACCCCTGCTCATTACCCGACGCTACCTTCCGCATGGTGGCAAGCGTCATCGGTGGCGCCCGTGACCGCTCGAGAAGTGACCGCGCGGGCATTTCGTTGAAATCGAGCCCGCCGCTTAATTTGTCTCTGCCCGCGCGGGCTGCAATTTTCTATTTCTGATTTTTTTCTATTTCCAATTGTTTGTTTTGATTTTCCGGCCGGCGAGCATAAAAACGCCCTGGTGAACATAAAATCGCCCTGGCGAACATCAGAGTGGTTTTGGTGAACATAATTGTTTTTTTTTGAATTTCCGGCCGGTGAACATAAAATCGCCCTGGCGAACATAAAACCGCCCTGGCGAACATAAAACCCTCCCCGGTGAACATAACATTGGCTTTCTGGGAAAATGAGTTTTTTTCAATAAATTCACAAAAAATATACAATTTAAAATTCAGCGCATTGCAATTCCGCGCAAGAGAAAAAGGGGAACCGGCAGAGGAATGCATTTTTTCTGGTCGCGGCGAGGCGAGTTCGAGCATTGCCGCTTGAGATTCCACCTCCGCTCGATCCGCAGGGGCGACCCGCCCGGCCTACCCTACACGGGGCCCGACGCGACTCGAGTCCCACGCGCCCCCGGCCCATGCCCGACGCGATTCCGACTTGGTCCAGCCCCCTCTCTCTCTCTCTCTCTCTCTCTCTCTCTCTCTCTTTCTCTCTTTCTCTCTTTCTCTCTTTCTCTCTTTCTCTCTTTCTCTCTTTCTCTCTTTCTCTCTTTCTCTCTTTCTCTCTTTCTCTCTTTCTCTCTTTCTTCTCTCTCTCTCTCTTTCTCTCTTTCTCTCTTTCTCTCTTTCTCTCTTTCTCTCTTTCTCTCTTTTCTCTCTTTCTCTCTTTCCTCTCTCTCTCTCCCTCTCTCTCTCTCTCTCTCTCTCTCTCTCTCTCTCTCTCTCTTCTCTCTCTCTCTCTCTCTCTCTCTCTCTCTCTCTCTCTCTCTCTCTCTCTCTCTCTCTCTCTCTCTCTCTCTCTCTCTCTCTCTCTCTCTCTCTCTCTCTCTCTCTCTCTCTCTCTCTCTCTCTCTCTCTCTCTCTCTCTCTCTCGCAGGCGGTGCTTTTGGACCCCCACTTGCCTGGCGGCGAGAAGAAGCCGCTGAAGGAGTACATCAAGCGGGTGCGCCAGGATGCGGGCCGGGCGCAGACCGCGCGGCTCAAGGTGGATGCGCACGTCCAGAGCCAGGCGGGGAAGGACCCGGAGAAGCGCCGCCGCATGTCCAGGCAGGCCGTGGGAGACATCCAGCAGGCTCGCCAGGTATCTTCCGTCAAGGTCTCCGGGCGTCGCCTGTCTGCGAACTGGCATCAAGCCTGCCCCGTGAGCAAGTGGCACGAGGCTTTCCTTGAGACGCCGCTGCCCACGGACCCGAATTGTCGCGGCGAGGAGCTCATCGACGGCGCCTGGCAGGAGGCGCCGTTGCCGCCAAGTCGTCTTCCCACTCGCTTCCTTCATCGTTGAAATGCCCTCCCTTTCCGCTCTCCTACTGGCAGGTTGTATATGTCATGAAAGACGGCGCGAAGAAGTTCTTGTACGACATCGCGGACTACGACGATCGCAAGGTGGAGGACAGGACGGTGCTGGCGACTGTGGCCGAGTCAGACGACGACGCGGACGCGGCTGAAGTTTCGGCTGCTGCCGAGGCCGCCGTCGCCCCAATTGCAGCCCTGCGGCGCGCCACGCAGTGCGCGGAGATCGGTGCAGCAGAGAGCGCGCCGTCGGAGGGGCACCAGTCCGACTCTCCCGCGAGCGACGAGGACGCCGAAGAGACGGATCTCGTGGCCGCGGCGCTGTCGGGCCTGCGGGGCACGGCCCGCGCCGCCAAGCCCGCGCCCAAGGCTGCGACCAAGCCGCAGGCCAGACCACCAGCCCAGACGACCGGGTGGGCTACGTCCGGGCGCGCTGCCCAGACAGCCGAGAGGCCTGCCGCCAAAGGGGTTGCCACGCCCGCAGCCGCTGCCCTTTCGAAGTGCGCCGCGCCCTCGGCGCAGGCGCCGCCGCAGCGGTCAGCCGCCCGCGCCCCTGCTCAGCCGGCCGCGCCCTCGGCGCAGCCAGCCGACGGCAGCAGCGCCAGTTCGCCCTTGGCGACCCCGCAGCGCTCGGGCCGGAGCCAGCCAGGGGAGCGGGGGGAGGAAGGGCCATAATATTCATTATGTGGTTCACTCCTTGTGGAGGGCGGGCAGTGAGACAACCGAGCAGGCTCTTGTTTGGTCCGTGGAAATGTGCCTTGGGAACCGCGGGGGGGCCTCGAGAGGGCCCCGATGGGGTCAGTAGGCTGCCCCCCAGAGCTTTCTGGCTCAAGGCGCGCGGCGCAGTGGGCCCGCGCGGCCAGGCCGCCTCGGCGCGCGGCCCGCTTCGGCGCGGCTGATGGCCCCGAAGAAACTGCCGGAGCTCCCGGATGGGAGCCGCTGGGGGCGCCTCGACAACTTCGTGGCGCCTGCGGCGGCGCGGGCCAGCACTGTAGAAGGCCCGTCGCCGCTCCGAGCGCGCCTATCCAGGCAGGCGCCCTCGTCCAGCGCCGGCGGGGCCGAGAAGAGGCCGGCCGAGGCGCCGGCCTCGAGTGCGGGTAAGAGGGCGGCCGCGGCCTCCGCTCGTCGGCGGCCGGCGGCCGCTTCGAGTGCCAGGGGGGCCGCGGAGACGGCTGTGACAGCGGGCGAGGAGGAAGCTCGAGGGCCGCTGGAAGGTTTGCCGGAAGCTGGCGCTGCTGGGCGCGCCGAAGACGGCGCCTCGGCAGACCCCGCGCGTCGCGAGGGCGCCGCTGGCGGCCGCGACCGAGAGGGTCGGGCATTGAGCGAGGAGCGCGGCAAGGCGTCGTCGGAAGTAGAGGCCGACGCGGCGGCCGCGGACGCGGGGGCGGAGGCTGACGACCTGCGCCTGCTTGCCGAGGAGAGCGGCGGCGACGGCGGCGAGCTCGGAGAGGAGGAGCAGCCGCGCGAGGAAGACCCCGAGGTCATCGGAGATGACTGGTTGCCAGCTTGGCCAGCCCCGAAGGCGATCGATGCAGCCGCGGTTGCTAGTGGACATGCGCTGCGGTTCTTCGGGGAGTGGGTGGGCGCTCATGCGCCCCCCGTCCTCAAGGAGCACGCCGCGTACGTCACGGAATCGATGCCCCAGGCGCTCTCGGTGGCGGCGTTTGGCGACGGAATGCTCGTCGCGGCGCCCGTGCTCACGGAATTGCAGAGGGTGTTCCAGAAGCACGGTCTCTTGTCGGAGGGTTTTCGCATCGCTGCCCACTGCCGCACGGGCGCGGCTAAGAGCACCATTGCGAATCAGCGCGCTGAAGTGTTCGCGAGGTGGTGCGCGCCGTTAGGCGGATCTGGGCGGAGCGTGGACGACGGAATCCGGGGCATCGGCGGCCTCCCCAGAGGTGCTGCTGCGCGCGCCAGGGGGGGCCCAGCCTTGCTCTTGGGGAGCTGTTCGTCCAGGCGCCCGGGGGCCAGCGGCGCCAGCGCGGCCAGCACTCTCCTGCAGTACGCGGCGCAGAACAGCGAGCTCGTTCTCGTGGAGAGCACGGACGGGCCGGGGGAGAGCATCCCGCACGACGAATTGCAGGAAACGGACGAGTGGCAGTGTCTGACCTTCGTCGTGGACTCGGCGGACTACGGCGCGCCTTTCAGCAAGTGCAGCAGGTGGCTGTTGGCGGCGCGCGGGGGCGCCCTGTTGAACATGGAGTCGGGGACTGAGTTCCTCCGCGCGTTCGCAGAGAGCGTCGAGGCACGGCAGATCCGCGGCCCTCCCTTCGAGGCTTTTGCGGAGGCTTCGGCGACGGTGTGGTCGGACTACATCGACGATGCCATTCTGCAGCGGGAGGCGGTTCAAACGCGCGCCCTGCCAGTGGGCTGGCAGAAGGGCATTCTCGAGTATTGCTTGCGGAACCAGGCGAAGATGCCGACCGTGGCCGCGGCCGACGCTCTTTTCGGCGAGAGCCGATGGTCCCGCGCCCTGGACGACAAGAAGAAGATCTTGCTCGCTCTTGCGTCGGCGGAGCGCAGGGGCCACGGGTTCGTCGCGGACCTTTCCGCGGGCCTGGGCGCCAGGCAGCCGCTGCCGCCAGGGGCGCTGCTGGCGGGCCCATTGCGGGGCAATTCGGAACTCTGGTTCTCTGGTTCAGGCCGCCAGGGCAAACCGACCCTTCACGGCATTCTCTATCCTGGGCTTTCTCTCTCTCTCTCTCTCTCTCTCTCTCTCTCTCTCTCTCTCTCTCTCTCTCTCTCTCTCTCCCTCGCTTTCTCTCTCTTTCTCTCTTTCTCTTTTTTCCCCCCTCTCTCTCTCTATCTCTTTTTTTATTTCTCTCTCTCTCTCTCTCTCTCTTTCTCCTTTTTTCTCTCTCTCTCTCTCTTTCTCTCTCTCTCTCTCTCTCTCTCTCTCTCTCTCTCTCTCTCTCTCTCTCTCTCTCTCTCTCTCTCTCTCTCTCTCTCTCTCTCTCTCTCTCTCTCTCTCTCTCTCTCTCTCTCTCTCTCTCTCTCTATTTCTTTTTGTTTGTTCTCTCTCTCCCTCTCTCTCTCTCTATCTCTCTGTCTCCCTGTGCGCCCGTGCTCCTGTGCCCCTGTTGTTTGCTTTGACCTCTTCCAGGCGGCCGCGCGGGCCGCGTGCTGATCGGCCGCGAGTTGGCTGCCGCCGCCGGGATTCCCGCAGACGGGGAAGGCAGCGTCGAGGTGTGGCGCTCGTTGGCAGGGTGCTGCACATGCGCGCCGATGCTGTTGGTTCTCTTGCAGACGCTGCTCCTTGCGGCGCCCTGGAGGGGAAACCTTGATCTAGGGCTGGACTTGGCCGCTTCGGCTCGGGCTTCTTGACGAACTGCAGAGGCCCCGGGGAAAAGCGCCATCGCCCAAGAGAGACTCGCGACGGCCTCGCACGGCACTCCGATGAGTTGGCCCCGTGCGCCCCAAGAAATCTTTACGGCCGCCCGACGGGGCCCCCAGACTGCCCCCGAAACGCCTTGAAAGACTTCCCGAAACAGCACGGAAGGGCCAAGACATCCAGAGAGCTCCAGAACGGCCCGACGGCCCACGAGGCACTCAGAACGGTTCGAAGCCAGCACCGAGAGCCCCCGAAGGGGGGCCCGCTCGCAACCTTGGATTAGCGTGGCGACTGTCAGAGAACAAATTGTTGACGTTTCGCGTATCCCCCATCCAGAAACGACGCCCAGGCGAGTTGAGGTGTCTAGGGAAGTGCGGGAATAAAGAGGGCGACAGCTGAACCGAGCCAAGGAAGTACGATGAGGAGGAGGAGGAGGCTGGATTGATGGATGCGTGAGGGGGTGGGGAGAATGATGATGAGTAGGAGGAGGAGTAGGAGTAGGAGTAGGAGTCAAGCTAGCCAGCTCGAGCGAGTCAAGCATGGCATGCCCAGTCCCACCCGCCCTCCCACAACATAAGAAGCAAAGCTGGCACAACTGGGGGCCGAAGTCACACCGGCCAGCCGGTTTGGTACAGCTGATGCGGCCGCGATGGCGGTTGCCGACGGGAACTGGCGAGCGCGTGTTGAATGCCGCGCACGCATTGCCAGACGAGTCGAGAATGGCCCGGTACACCGCAGGAAGCCAGAGGTGGCCGGAGGAAGCCCGACGGTCTGACAGGACACCCCAAAGCATTTTTGTGAAAAAGCATTGGGTTTTTGATGTTTTAATGTTGAAATGCTTGCAAACACACGGTGTTCGGTAGGATTCTGACATGAACGCGCGAGTGTGCTCTTTGTGGTATTTTTTGCACAGGATTCGCGGCCTGGGTGCATGACAGAGCATCGCGAGTGCACCGCGCGATGACGTGAAATCGCTGGATTTGACAGAATTCTTAAGATTCCTATGGTTTTCCTATGATTTCAGCAAGAGAGCCCGGGCGGGAAATTTGTACAATTTTTGTGAAAAAGCATTGGGTTTTTGATGTTTTTATGTTGAAATGCTTGCAAACACACGGTGTTCGGTAGGATTCTGACATGAACGCGCGCGTGTGCTCTTTGTGGTATTTTTTGCAATGGATTATCGCCGTGGACGACAGGACGTCCATGTCGAGAGGAAAAAATAAGAAAAATGTTGATTTTGTATTGTTTTTTACAGGTTAGGATGGGACCACCCGGATGCGCCCGCTATCTGCCGGCCTGAGGGGGGAGTAGGAGTATATTCTAATAAGGAATAAGGATAGGAGTAGGAGCAGGAGGAGGAGGAGGAGGAGGAAGGAGGAGGAGGAGGAGGAGGGGAGGAAGAAGAGAAAGCAGGAGGAGGAATCGGAGGAAGAAGAGAAAGCAGGAGGAGGAGGAGCATGAGGAGAAGGAGGAGGACACGAAGGAGGAGGACGAGGAGGAGGAACAGGGCGAGCAGAATAGCCAGATGCATCTTCAATGCCTATCGTAGTATCTTCGGATGGCTCTTAGACGCTTTTTGCATGCCTGTTGGGGCGTCTGGGGGGCCTCTTGGCAGGCCCAGTGGTGTTTTTGAGAGTCTTGGGTGCCGCGGGGATCCTCCTGATGCCTCTTGGGGTCTTGGGGGCCTCTTGGGGGCCTCCTGGAAGCCTTTTGGAGGCCTCTCGGGAGCCGCCTGGGTCCTCTTGGGGGCCCCATGGGGGCCTGTCGGGGCCATCTTGGGGGCCATCTTGGGGGCCACACGTGCCGGTTATTTTGTATGTAAGCAACAACGATTTTTTGTATGCAAATAATCATTCACAAGTATGAATTAATCAATTAAAATGCAAAAAATGCGAATTAATCGCTTATAAATTGAATTTATGATCAAAACCATGAATTTCCATACGGAAAACGAATTTCTAGTCAAGATGAAGTTCGGGAATAGCTACAGGTGCATTGAATCATGCTAATACATCTTCACCGACACCAGGCCGCAGCGCATCGGTTAGCTGCCCACCAGCTAACCGGTGCGCACCAGCGCAAGCACTAACGCCTGCGCCGACGCCGACACCAACGCCAGCGCATACACCAGCGCCGACGCCAGCCTCTACGCTAGCACCAACGCTGGCGCCTACGCCGGCACCAACGCCGACGCCTACACCAGCGCCGTCGCCAGGACGCAGCGCACCAGTTAGCTGCCCAGCTACACGGTGCGCTGGAGATGACCACCACCGAGGTGGAAACGACCGCTGCCGAGGAAGAGACGATCGATCAGGAGCTGACCACCACCGAGGTGGACCTGACCACCACCGAGATGGAAACGACCGACATTTGCGACAGCAGCCCAGCCCAGCCCAGCAGCCACAGTTGCCGCTGCCCATGCAGCCCCAGGTCCGCAACGCTGGCACCAGCGCCGCCTGGCGCTCACACCAACGCCGAAGCCCGCACCGACGCCAGCACCAACGCCAGCGCCTGCGCCTGCGCCAACGCCGGCGCCCACCCTAGCACCGATGCCAGCCTCAACGCCAGCTCCGACACTGGTGCCTGCGCAAGCGCCGGCGCCAGCACTGACGCTAGCATCAACGCCTGCTCCAACTCTGGCACCAACGCCAGCGCCTACGACAGAGCCAATGCCAGCACCGACGCCAGCACCAACGCCTGCGCTTACGTTGTCACCAACACCAGCGCCCTTCCCAACGCCGACGCCAGCACGACGCCAGCTCGAGCGCCAGAGCCTACGCCAGCCCCGAAACCAGCACTGACGCCAGCATCAATGCCTGCGAATACGCCGGCACCAACGCCATCGCCTACGTCAGCGCCGTCGTCAGCACCGACGCCCACATCAAAGCTTGCGCCTCCGCTCACACCAACACAAGCGCCGACGCCAGCGCCGACGCCAGTACCGACGCCAGCATGGCGGGCTGCGACAGAGAAGCTGTGAAGCTGTTCTGCTCCCTTTATTTGGGATGTTCTGGCCTATCCGATATTGCACGGCAAATGGGCAGTGCGTCAGCGCCGACGCCAGCAACAGCGCCTTCACCTACTCCAGCGCTTACACCGGCACCAGCACAAGCGCCTGCACCGGCGCCGACGCCAGCATCGACGCAAGCATGGCAGGTTGCGACAGAGAAGGTGTAATTTTTCTGCTGCCTCTGTTTGGCCGCTCCATATGCGTTATTGGCGTGGCGGGGGCAATTGGAGCGGCCATATAACAGGGGCGACCTCAGCCCCAACCCTGGCGCCTACGCAAACGCCGACGCAACCGCCTACACCAACGCCAACGACGGCACCAGCACCTGTGCATACGCCGGCACCAACTCCGTCGCCCGCGCCAGCTCCGACGCCAGCCCCGACGCCAGCATCGGCGCCTACGCCGTGATCTGAGGGCGGCTGCGCGAGGGCTATATCTCTTTCTCTCTGCCCTTCTCTTCCTTTTTCCCCATCTTTGCAAGCGTTTTTTGACGTGGCGACGCTTCCTTTACCAGGGCGGCGCTGCAGTCTGGCCCAGGCGTGCACGCGGGGTTTGGCTCCCTCGGGCGGCCCCCCCCCCTTTTTTCCTTGCGGGGGTCGACTCTCCTCGTGCAGCCTCTTCATTTCAATTGTGGTGCATTTTTAAAGCTTCCTGGCTTCAGGTTTCTTGCTGTCTTGATTCACTTAGCACTGTTCTCACCCTGTTCTTTTAGTTGTATCGGCCTGAGCCGCCTGTGGACGTCGGTGCGCTCGCCTGCGGGGCAGGTGAACCTCGCTTCTTGACACCGTGTCAGGGTTTGCATTTGACATGCAGTTTCCTTGTCTCCCGTCCCCCTGCTGCTGTGCGCTGCTTGTCGTGCTCCCCGTCCTTTCTGCTATGCTGCCTCCTCTCTCTCGCTCGCTTTCCTGCCTCTCTCCGTGCTGCTCTCGCCTCTTCCTCTTTCCCCCCTGCCGAATGCTTCCCTCTCCCTGCTTGTGCTGCTGCTGTCCATCGTTCTGCTGTCTTTGTAATTCCTTTCCGGTTTGATGCCTCCATGGAGTGGAGGTTCGGCTCTTGCCGGTTGGACATTCCAGCGTGTGCGGCTCCTGGGGCTTGGGGCTTCGCTGCGTTGAAAAAAATGAATGACGGGGATGCTGATGACCGAGCTGAGCGCAAGGATGGTGGACTGGAGGCCCGTCTTCGACGGGCTCTAGACGAGGGCGCGGCCACTCCGGTGTGCGGCGAGGACGCCCGGACCCTCTCCGTGAATTTCGACGAGCATGGCGAGCGGTTCAAGACTTGGCGCGCCACGTGCGCCGAGG